TTTAAACAAACTTGAAATTCCTTGCTGTAAGCCCTGTTAGTTTCGTAGCCAGGCCAAACATCAAAATTGTTTGGTTGAAGATTTCCTATGACCATAAAATGAGTGAAACATAGGTTCCTTTTAGTGTACGTGTTACTTCCTGGATGTTCAGCTATAGAGTTAATTGCATTTCTTCTTCTGTCCTCATATACTCTGAAGGCCTTAGTGCCCTTCCCTAGATATTACCCAGTGCCGTGAAATTGTAGTACTTTTCCAGGCCTGCTTTGTGGACATAGTTTAGCTTTTATTAAATATGAGTCATAGGGTTGGATGGCCAACCAGTTTCTAACCTTAACCCTTACCGAGAGACATCTACTACCATGGTTTCCAAAATGTGCAGGACAATCTACTGGGAGAGTAGGAGAATGACAATAAAATCTTGCTTTTTAGTTTTTACCTTACTCTCATGATGTTTCTATTTTATATATGTTTTAAAACACATACGACATATAAATATATTAATATGTTTATAATTATAAAAAATAAGGTGAGTGGTCAACATACATTTTTACTGATAGGAATGTGTGTTTAAAAATGTTTGGAAACCACTAATCTATCCTGTTACCAGAATCACCTTTTTATTTTTTTTAAACAATTTGCATTTTCTTTTTTCAATAAGCAGATATTCATTTTAAATTATTATTTATTTTTGTCTGTGTTGCGTCTTTGTTTCTGTACGAGGGCTTTCTCCAGTTGCAGCAAGCAGGGGCCACTCTTCATCGCTGTGCACGGGCCTCTCACGGTCGTGGCCTCTCTTGTTGCGGAGCACAGGCTCCAGACGTGCAGGCTCAGTAGTTGTATGGGATCTTCCCAGACCAGGGCTCGAACCCGTGTCCCCTGCATTGGCAGGCAGATTCTCAACCACTGTGCCACCAGGGAAGCCCCACCTTTTTAAATAGAAATCTGAACTCAATACTTCCCTACTTAAAAGCCTTTGATTACTTCCTGCTGCTTACAGGATAAAGACCAGTCTACTTAGCTTTGTTGATAAGAACCCTCTCAAAATAGTCTATCTAAACCAGTGTTTCTCAAACTGTCAGGTGGTAAAAGATTATGGTTCCCCTCCCTCAGTCTTTCAAGGACTGACATTTTAATAAAATTATTAGAAAACTGAATTGTTGGAAAAATGAAATTACAAAAATAAGTACAATGTAAGTTGTGTTTTGTATTACTAAATTTAATAGACCTACATGACTCTGCCGCATTCCACGATTTCTAAACGCTTATTCCCAGTTTTGGTACTTATCTCTTTGTGGGTCAAGCATCAATCCAGTCCACACTTGTAGTAACACTGGTCTAAATTATTTTTTCGCCCTTTCTGTTGCTTTTAGAGACCTTATAACAGTTCATTTAGAGCTAGTTACTAGTTTCACTGGCAGTCGTGCACTTTTACACCTTTATGCAGCAGTTCTCAAATTGTGGTCTCTAGTCTAGCTGCACCAGGATCACAGGGGAACTTTGTTAGAGATGAGGTTCTCAGGGTTCACCTTAGAAGTACAGAATGAGAAACATTGGGAGTGGGCCCTGCAATTTGTGTTTTAGCAAGTCCTCAAGGTGATTCTGATGCGCACTAAAATTGAGAAGCACTAACTTAGGGCAGCCCTATATGTCATTCAAGCTAGAACACTTTTGAGAGTGAAGTGGAGCACTATTAATAAGGATGCTGGGTAATCTGAGACTATTTTAGGCAAATGAGGACAAATGGTCACTCTGCTTTTACACTCCATTCTTTTTCTTTTACGAGAGAGGTCTCTACTGTGTTCTCATTCCAGCATTCCCAAACTTCCCCAGGCAGGGGAGTCACTCTGCTTTTATGATTTCTCTGAGCACATGGTACACACATTTGCCATTGTATGTATGTGCCTTACAATATAATTATCCTATTGTGTTGTCATTATCTTGCTGTATATCTGTCTTGCTCTCTCATTAGGCCATCTTAGTCATTATCTTTTTGTCCCTTTTACCTTTCAAGTTATAAACATAATACATGCCTTTTAAATAAAATTCAAACAACACTAGTATCTACAATGTAAAAGTCTAATTTTTTATTTCCCCATCCCCACTTCTACTTCCTGTAAGTTAGCAGTATTATTAAATTGACTGTCTTTCTAAATCTAGAAACGTATGCACACACAAATATGTATTTTTTTCCTTGCAAAAAGGGGCAAATAATGCATATACCCTGAAACTTGCTGTCTTCCCTGTTTGGTTGTATATATTAGATAATGTCCCTGTATTAACACAAAGGTTTGAATTGCCAAAGCATCCTCCTGTAAATGAGAGATCTTACCCAACACCAACCTTAGTCATGACTTGAATGTTACAGGCAGGAGGCTAACACAGGAGCTAGGTACCAACATTCCTTGCCGGAGGGGCCCCCAGCCAGTAGACACAGCTTCCAAAGAATGTCACTTTCTCATATAGGACATATTATCAGCATGCTTAAAATACCTACTTATATATAGACTGACGTTAAGCCACTTATAAACATATTGATAACAGACTTTTACTGTGATTTTTAGTGTGTTTACAGGAGCAAAATTCAACCTTGGGACACATTTTTGTTTGTTTCTGGTTATCAGACAAGTTGTGAACAATATATACAGGAACATTTTCTTAAAGGAAGCCTCTTCCGTTTGGGGAATCCCAAGGTTTGTACTCCATCAGTTACCCAAATAGAAAATGTCTTTGTGATTACCTCCCATGTTCCAGCCAGCCAAGCTCTATAAATCCATATGTTCTCAGATTATTTACAAAAGCAATTAAGATAGATCAGGTATTTCCTGACATTTTAAAATGAGGACTCTGTTATCTATTAAAAACCTTTAGCTTGTTTGCAGGGAGGTCTGGTATTGAGCTGGGAATCCCCAGCTGAAGGATTGAGCCACAGGCTTGCTGTTAACCGTTTCCTACCCATTCCTGTTTCAGTACTTTCCGACCAACTTTATTATTTTAATGGCTGATTACATTTGATAGTTGAATTTTTCCAGGAGTTTTGTTATTAAAAACAATGCAGTAAATATGCTTGTACACACATCTGTGTGCCTTTTTGCAAGTACTTCTTTAGGAGAGACACTCAGAAGAGATATTCTGGGTAGAAGAGAATATAAATTTAATATATTGATAGATATTGCTCAGTTGCTCTCCTAAAAGAATGTGCAAATTTATATTCCCACCTGTTTTTCTGTGACATCTGGAGTACAGTCTATTATTAGAAAAAAATGCCAATCTAACAATAAAAAATAGCACCTCATAGTTTTAGCTTACCTTCTTTGATTTAGAGAGGCTGATGTATTAATGATCACAAAACTGCTCTTGTCAGTCCTTTTAGTCTAGTGCCACTACAGAAAAGGACAGTGACATTGTGACTGCCCTTCCATTATTCACAGTTACCTGTCAATGGGTAGTTTTAAGGGTTTCACAGTTGAGATGCTGAGCACGTCAGAAGTGTTTCTGTGATGCTCTATTCAGCAGTTCTTTTGGTAGTTCTCATGGAATCCCGTGAATATTTTGATGGAATACATGAAGCTTTTATCAACGCCAAAGGCATCCCTTACTGGTTTTTAATATGCTTTCTTACTTAATGACCTTGAATTAGAAGGTAAAGATTGTGTTTAGCAACTGTATCCAGAGATGATGTAAGTACATTTTGACTGTACAGTGCTCATATTTCTTAGATGGTTTATTATAAGAGTGTACCACTAGTGAAAATGACCACTGTGAAAGTGCCATTTTTGACACAGCAAAGGGTTTGCTAGCTTTTTGAGGTTTTTTTAATATGAATTTATTTATATATATTTGGCTGTGTTGGGTCTTTGTTGCTGCACACAAGCTTTAGCTGCGGTGAGTGGGGGCTACTCTTCATTGTGGTGCGCAGGCTTCTCATTGCGGTGGCTTCTCTTGTTGCGGAGCACGGGCTATAGGCACGTGAGCTCAGATGCAGGCTCAGCAGTTGTGGTGCACGGGCTTAGTTGCTCCGTGGCATGTGGGATCGAACCCGCGTCCCCTGCGTCGGCAGACAGACTCTCAACCACTGCGCCACCAGGGAAGCCCACTTTTTTGTTTTTTTGTTCCTTTTGTTTTTTTGGCCAAACCCTGTGGCTTACTGGATCTTAGTTCCCTGACCAGAGATTGAACTCAGGCCCTCGGCAGTGAAAGCGCCAAGTCCTAACCACTGGACCTCCAGTGAATTCCCTGAGCATTCTTCTATAAGTCTTTTGCAGGCATATATTTTCATTTCTCTTGGGTAAGTATGTAGGAGTGGAAGTGCTGGGTCATATAGTAAGTGTGGTTTTAACTTTCAAAAAACTGCCAAACAATTATTCAAAGTGTTTGTGCCATTTTACATTCCTACTAGCAGCGTATCAGAATTCCAGTTGCTTCACATCTTTGTCAACGCCTAGTATTATCTGTTGTTTTGGTTTTTAGCCATCTTAGTGGCTGTGTAGTGGCTTTTAATCTGAATTTCCTGAATGAAGTTTTTTTTCTTTTCTTTTCTTTTCTTTTTCTTTTTTTTTGGGTGGCTGTGTTGGGTCATCGTTGCTGTGCCCGGGCTTTCTCTGGTTGCAGTGAGCGGAGGCAACTCTTTGTTGTGGTGCAGGGGCTTCTCATTGCAGTGGCTTCTCGTTGCAGAGCACGGGCTCTAGGTGCACAGGCTTCAGTAGTTACAGCACGTGGGTTTCAGTAGTTGTGGCTCACAGGATCTAGAGCATAGGCTCGGTAGTTGTGGCGCACAGGCTTAGTTGCTCTGCGGCATGTGGGATCTTCCCTGATCAGGGCTCAAACCCATGTCCCCTGTATTGGCAGGCGGATTCTTAACCATTATGGCATCAGGGAAGCCCTGAGTGAAGTCTTTTGATGGAGGATGTTCTTGAGGTTTTCTTTAATTTTTCTATGGGGCTATAGACTTGTATATACACTAATGGTAAATCTTTTTTTTTAATTAAAATTTTTTTCTTTAGGTTTCTTTAAAAGTGATTGAAGACAATAATTCAAAATGCCTGAAAATCCTGCTACAGGTAAACTAGTTATATACTTCTATCACTAAATTAAGTATTCAAAAGTGGGATATACGATGGCATTTAACTTGTACTCTTATTATCCTTCTTCAAACAAGATAAATTGCAGGTCCTGCAAGTTCTTGATCGCTTGAAAATAAAATTGCAGGAGAAGGGTGACACTTCACAGAATGAGCAGCTCTCTGTGTTTTATGAGACACTAAAGAGCCCTCTTTTCAACCAGATACTCACTCTTCAACAGTCCATCAAGCAACTGAAGGGGCAAGTAAGTTACCCATCAGTGTTTTACATGTTGATATATTCAAACCAGCAAAGAAATATAGAAGGAGATAGGTGCAAACTGTCTACTCGTTTTTTTGTTTTTTTTTCTTTTTATTTGCGGTACGCGGGCCTCTCACTGTTGTGGCCTCTCCCGCTGCGGAGCACAGGCTCCGGAGGCGCAGGCTCAGCGGCCATGGCTCACAGGCACAGCCGCTCCGCGGCACGTGGGATCTTACCGGACCGGGGCACGAACCTGTGTCCCCTGCATCGGCAGGCGGACTCTCAACCACTGCGCCACCAGGGAAACGCTGTCTACTCATAATTCAGCAAAGAGACTGTATTGGGACTTGTGACCTGTGGGTAGCATTGGCATGGATAGTTTAAAAATTTTGGTAATAAATTTTGTGTTTGGCTTTGGAATATGGTTTTTGTACTTATTTATGTAAAGGTCAGATGCTTTGAGAATTCTCAACATTTTCTTCAAAATTACAGGACTCATAGCACCTCTGCTTAGAGTGACCTAAATTAAGAGTTTTAACTGTCCTCTTGGTTGTTCTCTTTAGGGGTCAGGGATGGCAAATTGATTTTAAATCATCTATTCTAGAAGCTGAACTTGAATAGTAGCTATCTTATAGATTAAATTTGGGCAGAATTTTAAATGTAATTGAAGATAATGTAGCAGAGTTGTTATGTGAAAATTAAAATTTGGAAAAAAATTCTTTTTGCTGGTAAACCAAAATGCCTATCCGTAAATATTTAGCAAGTGATTTTTGTATAACTAACTAAGGATTAAATTCTGCACATATGTCTTACTGTGAATTTCTGTCTTTAGATAAAAATTTATACCAGAATTTTAGCACTCCCCATATTGAAGTTTAGATTTCTGTATTCTCTGATCATGGAATGAGTACATCACAGCAGTGAATGCTGTTGGTAGGAATAGAAATTGGGAAAGATCACTACAAATCAATCACTGTTACTGGACTAAGAGTGGACTTAACCAGCCTCTTCATCACAATAACAATCTTTTATATTTATATAGTTTGCAATTGTTATATAAATAATCATATCGTATTCATTCAATTATAAAATCCCCGTGATTTTTTTCCTGTCATTGTTTTCATAGAGTTTCTACGGGTGTTGATTTTTTCTATGAAGTCCCGTTGACACTTGTTCTTGATGTTACCTTTGTTCCATTGTGTTGGCACTTGTTTCAGCCAATGATATTTTAAAAATTAACTTCTGTTTTCCTTTTTCCATAATTACTGGATTCTCCCCCAATTTTTTTTTTTTTAAGTGGCTCTGAAATTCATCTACTAATCTTGGGCAAGTTACTTAATCCCTGTGTGCCTCAGTTCTTATGTTCACACAATGAAATAAGAATATCTCCTGGGGCTATTGTAAGGATTAAATGAGATATTACGTAAGAAAGAGTTTTGGTATAGTACTTTGCTTATAGCAAGCACTTAATAAATACTGAGTTATTTTTGTTATATACCACCTGCAGATCTTTTGTGCCTTTCCACATGGAAATGTATAGATAAATGCAAAAGGTCTCAGTGTCTTACATGCATGTTTATATGACTGAATGTGTCTGTGTATCTGAAGTGTAATAAGCTGTTGAACATGCTATTAACTTGAGGTAATCGTAGAAGGCAGGAAATGAGAACAAATTAAACATTTTGTGTAATACTACATAAAAAATTTATAGCCTTATAAACACAGATTCATGTATCTGTATCTTATTTCTTTCATGTGTATGTATTTAGCATGCCATTATTCATGTGATGAACAAAAATAATATTTAATAAATAGAAATATTTTTTGTCTGTAGGTTTCTGTTGATGATTTTCTCTCTCTCTTTTTTTTCTCCAACAGCTCAGCCATCTACCCTCAGATTGTTCAACCAACTTTGATTTTTCTAGGAAAGGATTATTGGTGTTCACGGATGGTGCCATTACTAATGGGAATGCCCATAGGTCCTCTAATAACTTGACTGTATCTGGGTTGTTTCCTTGGACCCCAATGTTGGGAAATGAAGATTTTAACTCAGTCATGCAACAGATGGCTCAGGTAAAGTTATATCTTGTCATGGGAATATTTAGTTTTATTTCTCCTATTATAGGTTACAAAAGAAACCTACACTCACTCTTTTTGCCTTTAAAATGTGTTAGTCTGTGTTTTGTTTGCTTGTGGTTTTATATTGTTAGGAGGAATTGATACTATTTTCTAATATGTGTGTTGGAAATTTATTTGTTTAAAATTACATAAGGAAAATATCCATGTGTGTGGTGAGGAGAGTTTTCAAGACACGGACTCCAGTTTGACACATCTGTACACGTGTAAGGAAAAAGATGCTTACGGTTTTGCTCATAGGAGGAAAATTAATATGTCTACCAGAAGAGGTGTAACTCCTTTGAAACTATTTTAAATTTTATGTAAAAAAGAGTTAACGGGAGTTAGAACTAACATAATTTGGAAAATCTGGGGAAACATTTGAAAGAGTAATCCATTTTATTCTTAATACCTATTAAAAATTAAATAATAGACAGTTGAATTTTTGGATGTTAGTTTTGTTTGTTCACCATACCTTCTAACAAGTATCCAAAAAAATTAAACTTGAGTTTGAAAGTTAAAAAGAATCTGTTTAAGGTGTAATAGTTAAATAATGTTCTATACCTAATTCCTTTTTTGATATTACTGCTCTATACCCTTAATTTGACTAATAATTATTTTTATGTGATGCTTTTATTAGTTGATAACATTTATGTTTTCATGTCATAAGTGCAATTATTAGCCAAAGTAATAAAATACTTGTTTGTCACAGGTAAACCCATTTGAATGGTGGCCTTTCCATAATCTTTTGAATTAACCTAATAAAATGGAATATTAATTTATTATGATAGAATTAAAAACAGAACCCTAAAAAATGCATCTTCTTCTGACTTAGGGATCAACACTAGTATATTTTTGATAAATCTAATTTATTTTCCTCGTTTAAAAATTTATTTTGCTTCAAGAGAATTTGAGAAGTTCTGTGTACAAAGTAATTTAGAATTTACTGTGGGAAAAGACATTTTTCTCAGGAATTTTCATCCAGCTAGGAATTCATCTCATACTGTGAATGAAGTGTGAAAATACCTCTCCAATTCCCTGAGGTTGCAGAACACTGCCCATGCCCTTTTATGTTCTCCTGAAAATAATCAAGTGAGAGGATTTCCATAAATAATTTATTACTGAAATGCTGAGTTTATTTGGTTTTCTAGAAATGACTTAGGAGAAGTTATTTTGGGGCTATTCACAAAATAGAAACTTCAGTTCTTCAGAAAAAGTGTGTTGGTTAAATGTAAACTTCTCTGACTTTTTTTAATTTTAATCCCCCTTCATTAGGGCCGGCAAATTGAATATATAGATATAGAACGGCCCTCAACTGGAGGCCTTGGATTCAGTGTGGTGGCCTTCAGAGGTCAAAATCTGGGAGAAGTCGACATTTTCGTGAAGGAAGTACAGCCAGGGAGTATAGCTAGCAGGTGAGGAAGGATGTTCATTTTGTGTTTTGCTAATTTTTTTCTGACAATTCTGAAAACATTGTTATAAAGAGAATAAGAAACAAGTCATACAAAACAGTTAACAATAGCAGCTAACATTTTCTCTTCCTATGCAGTTTTTAGGTCTTTTGCAGGTATTCTCACATATACTTGTGGCAGCAGTCTAGCTAGTAGTATCATTACTCCATTTTATAGATGAGAATGCTGAGTTTCAGAGTTTCAGTGGTTTACCTATAGTCACAGAGCTATTAATGCTGGAACCATGATGTGATTCCAAGACTGTCCAATGGCAAAGCTAGTGTTCTTTCTACTCCATCACACACGCTCACAATTGAACATGATATTTTAGCTATGATCTGATCAATAAGATAGGCATATTGAAATTCACGTTCTGCATACTATATTGTTTATTTATTAAAATTTTTTTAAAAATTCATTATTTATTTATTTTTGGCTGTGTTGGGTCTTCATTGCTGCACACGGGCTTTCTCTAGTTGCAACGAGTGGGGGCTACTCTTCATTGCAGTGTGCGGGCTTCTCATTGTGGTGGCTTCTCTTGTTGCGGAGCATGGGCTCTAGGCCCGCGAATTTCAGTAGTTGTGGTGCATGGGCTCAGCAGTTGTGGCTTGCGGGCTCTAGAGCGCAGGCTCAGTAGTTGTGGCACATGGGCTTAGTTGCTCCGCAGCATGTGGAATCTTCCTGGACTAGGGCTTGAACCCATATCCCTGGCACTGGCAGGTGGATTATTAATCACCACACCACCAGGGAAGTCCTATATTGTTTATTAAACTTGATATTACAACAGTTTTTTTGGTGGTCATAACACACTGTTGATTATTTCACTTATTGTCAATGAAAATCCCTCTCAAGTCTATGTGACACCCCCACTCCCCCACCCCCACCCCAGCCCATTGCACTTGTGTCTGGGCTGTATTTTTTTAAGGGTTGTGTGCAAGACTTGTATTTTGTTTCTATTTGATTTCAGATCTTTAGTTTATTACTCATTTAAAAAGCACAGTATTCATTATATTCCTGTTGCCTGGTAGAAAACTAGCAGCAGTAGCATAACTATTACAAAAAATTTCTCAGTTAATAATATATTTTTGAATTTACATTATCCATTCATGGGGATCAGAGTTATAGTCTCCCCAACTGAAAGTTCAGAAATAATGGATTTCCATGACTTTGTATTACTCTACCATCTAATGTAGCATTTCCTCAAGTTTGTTATGAGGAGCCATAGCAGTGGTCAACTATATCTGAGAAACTCCTGTTCTTGGAGATTGATTATACATACTTAGGGTAATCATATAATTTATTGTCTAAGTTGGGACAGTTTTGGGGTGAGAGGGTATGCCATTAATAATGACACTAAGACAGCAGGTATAAACTAGGACTATTCTGGCAAACCTAGACAATCCAGGGTAAACCTGGACTTAGAGACACTTAATATTAGCTTCTTTAAGACTATGAAGTCCCTTGACAAAAAGCCTATTTAACTCTGATTGGCCCAAATTTTCTTTTTAATTTTTTTAACTTAAAAATCATTATTGGGATATAATTCACATGACATAAATGTCACCATTTTAAGGTATACAATTCAGTAGTTTTTAGTGTATTTTCAATGTTTCAACCTTTTTGTGGTCCATTCTTATGTCTCAGTTACTCTGTACTAATTGTTCTGTAAGTACAAGTTGAGATTAGCACTTCCAAAAAGGAGTTTCATATTTGAGTATGTAAAGATCCTTGACCAAGGCTAAGGACTCAGGTGGCTTCCCACAGGCAGTGGTGCTTGAAGGGAAGTTTGAGAGGTGATATTGGAGTCCACAGAGGGCAGAAGGTGTCAGGGAGAGGAATAGACGCTTTACTGGTAGCCCTGGTAAACTCCATCTTTGGAGTATGTCTGGTATTTACCTGGTGTGGGAGCTTAGTGCAAGGCAGTATAAGAAGGGGCTGGAGAGAGGAAGGGACCAGCCATGCAGGACCTTCCAGATCATCTTAAATGGTCTTCCTTTCTTCTGAGGACTTTCCACATAGAACTGTGTTATTTTATGAGCTTGCCTAAACCCTGTTGGCTCTCAGTCATGGAAATCCATCATTTCTGAATGTTGCAATGGAGAGACAAGGGCTGTTTTCCCCTTGAATGGGAAGCGTGAATTCAATTATATATATAGTATGAGAGAGTTAAATTAGAAGTAATAGTAGCAGTAAAATGAATACTATTCAGCTTTAGAATGCATCAAAATCATATTTTCCAGGAGACTTCTCCTCGGTAGCTTGTTTATTTTGGGTTGATACTAGGCAGATACTAACTGGAAAGAAATTAGATGTTCTGGAAGTCTACTGGGTAGAGGGAAAGGTAGATTAAAATAGATTGATTCCCAGAAAATAGAAAATTTGAGTGTGAGTAAATTAAGATCTGACTTATGCAAAATGAGTTATATCAAGGTTAAAAAGTTTTAAGAGTAACTTATTCATTTGGGATTAATTAAGAAATTTCCCTTAATGAACAAGCTGTGAATAGGAATTTAGGTGATGAAGTTAGAGAAAGGACAATGTAGGAGATGGGAAAATGGAAGGTATTCCTGGATATTGTCCTGTAGTGGTCATGTTTAAAAATAAATGTTTCTGGGCTTCCCTGGTGGCACAGTGGTTGAGAGTCCGCCTGCTGATGCAGGGGACACGGGTTCGTGCCCCGGTCCGGGAAGATCCCACATGCCGCAGAGTGGCTGGGCCCGTGAGCCATGGCCGCTGAGCCTGTGCGTCCGGAGCCTGTGCTCCACAACGGGAGAGGCCACAACAGTGAGAGGGCCCGCGTAACGCAAAAACAAACAAATAAACAACAACAGTCCGGAGCCGTGCTCCACAACGGGAGAGGCCACAACAGTGAGAGGGCCCGCGTAACGCAAAAACAAACAAATAAACAACAACAAAAAATTGTTTCTTGGCACAGTTTTTGAAGGCGCTAGCCTCCTGTGTTCCCTCTTTGCCTGGCAAAGAATACAACTACTCTTTCTCTTTCCTCCTTTAAAAAAATAATGTTTCTTAAAAAAAAAAAAAAGCAGTTTCTTCAGGACTAGGGAAAAGTTCACAAGCAACATTTGCAATTTTAAAAATATGTATTTCAAAATGATGAAAATCATTATGAAAATAATACATGCCTATAATATAAAATATAGAAATATAATTACCCTGCCCCCCACCCACCCAGAAAAAAAAAGCTCTTGGACTTTGACCACCCTGAGACAACTATAGGAAATACATTAGGAAGTTTTTTTGTTTGTTTGTTTATTTGGTTGCATCAGGTCTTAGTCGCAGCAGGTGGGTTCCTTAGTTGTGGCATGTGAACTCTTAGTTGCGGCATGCATGTGGGATCTAGTTCCCATGCGAGGGATCGAACCTGGGCCCCTGCATTGGGAGTGTGGAGTCTTAACCACTGTGCCACCAGGGAAGTCCCTAGAAAGTTTTCTTTTCTTTTCTTTTCTTCTTTTTTTTTTTTTTTTTGCCGTGCCGTGCAGCTTGTGGGATTTTAATTCCCCAACCAGGAACTGAACCTGGGCCACAGCAGTGACAGCGCGGAGTCCTAAGCACTAGACAGCCAGGGAATTCCCTAGAATGTTTTCTTTTTATAAAGGCAACATCTTAGAATATATGCAATTTTATATCATTCTTATTTTCTAATATAACATAAGCCTTTCCTAATAGTCATAAAAAGATATAAAAGCAACATTTTTAATGCAACATGATCTATTGTGAGACCACCCACAATTTTGGCATAAAAAATTGAAATATCCAACTTGTTAGTTCCAAAGGAGAATCTAAAATGTCTGAATCCCTTTCCTCAGAAAACTTAAAATCTAACAGTGCAGGATATAGTTAGCTCTGTGGACAGCATACTTAGTATAAATGGATGTTCAGTGAGTGATAAACAAGTGGCTCAGAGCACCATGATAATGAGGTAAGTGATGAAGGGAGAGAGAGACAGAGACGAGACACTCAGTTGCAACGTGGAGGGTGGATTGAATTTGGCTGCGCAGAGTGGAAGGGCATTGGAGATGGAGAAAACCATTTACACAAAAGCGGGAAATACCAGACATGTTTGAGAGGGAA